TTAGCCCTATAGTTTGCAACTGCATATTACAAACAGATGTATTAAGTCTGGTTTCTAGGTATTACTTTGTCTCCACTAGGATGCAGTAATCATATTTAACAGGATATATGTAAATAATTTCCAAGCATCATTGTAATATAACAAATTGTAGGGAAAAGTCCATGTTACTTTACAGGCACCATATTCCCATATATAATATGTAGTTGGATTAATTCAATTTTAGGAGTCCACAGTAGCATTTTCCACATAAAGCTCATAGCCTGTTGAAGGGTGATAAAAGGTCTCAATTCAAATTTTATTATTTGACAGAGTATAATATCAAATCTGAGGCAAATGCAGAAGATCACAAGAAGTTATTTTGCATGAGCTATTATACTTATTGTTATCTGTTAAGTCTGTGAATCCAGAGAGAACAGTAGTATCTCTAAAGGATGATAGTGGGCTTTGAGATCTATGGATTTAATTTCTACAAATTTGTATATCCAAATATCAATTACTAGACTGTTCCTGCTGGTCTTGAATTCCAGTCTGTTTTTGAAGCTTTTTTATTGGATCATGTCAGCTAACCATATTACCCAGATTTTTGTTTGTTTTTTTAGCATCTTACTAGCCTTTATATACTGTTACACGGAATGTACTCAGTTTACACTAGTATTGTGAAAGTTAGACATAAACAGGAAAGAACGGTGTTGCTTTGGAAAATGAGTACAGATAAAATACCAAACTGTTGCATTTCCAATCCTAACTCTCATTTATGAGGAATAATATTTCTCGCAATTCTTTTTATAAGAAGAGACTCATCAGTTGTTTGCTTATATATAGGTTCTGGCTTCTGCATGGATACAATAATACCTAATGTTGTTAATATCATGTGGCTTTTGCTGTTGCAGTAAATATCAAAATGACAACTCATGTGGTTACTGGATCTCTTGAAATACTATCTCTGAATTTAATAAGTCTGCTGTTTGAGAGGTTATGCATGTTGTATTTACCCCTAGCATAAAAGCAGTGTCTTTGTGTTTGACATTTCAGCCCTTCTGAGAGAGCCAAAATATTATTTTTGTGTAATCACATAGCACTTGCTTTCTCCTTAGAGAGCTCCAAGGTAGAGTAGCTACTGAGCTGGTTAATCTACATAGTCTTCTGACCTTTCTAAAATCATAATCCTTTTATTCCAGCCCCATGTGAATAAATTTAATAGCTCACAAGTGATACCAAAGAATTCTACCCACATTTTATTTATTTCTGAAATCCTCCATAAGATATTTCTATTTTTAAAATATTTCCAAAATTTAATGATTAATGTCCTACACAATACTTTGTGAATAAACATAACAATAATAAAAATATAGCATCTTAGTACTGAAAAGTCATTTATCCAAAGTACTTTAACCAAAGTTACCTGACCAGAATTTAGGTTATTTGTATACATATTAGAAGGGTTTGTTTATATTGCTTAGCTCTCACAAAGGGGTGCTGGACTGGCAATTTTGAAAATACTTTTGGGTTATTTGTGGAATGGGTATCATAGAGATTAGCAGTGCAAGTTGATGATGGGCCTTAAATGTAACCAAGGAAGAAAGCATCTAGAGATAAGCTGTACTTTATCCTCCAAGGACTAAAACTGCCAACAGGTAGCTTTCATGATGTGGACACTTTACCCTGATGTGATACAACCAGAACTGGAAATGTTTTAAAAAAGAACTAGTTATTAGATTTATAAAAGTTCTTTGAGTCCACCTTCCAGGCATACCTCACAGTTTAAAAAAGAAAACAGACCTTTAAAAAGTTAAACTTAATAAAATGTAGTCTGTTATTTGAAGGATAGTGCCATCTATATATTCTTGTTGCAAGTGAGTTGAAGAGCAAGTCAGTTAACTTTATGTGATAGAGTCATATTAAATAATACCATGTAGGAGAGAGTTTATAGTTCCTTCTCTGTACATTAGCATGGGTATGGCTGAATAGCAGGCCTAGACTCTAACTACCTACAAAAAATATTAGTACTTGCTAAGATGCTTTATGTGAAACCATGTGTTCACAGTTATAAGTAGTATACATAGGGCATGTCAACATGTTGCTGTACAGCGATGTTGTTACTGTGCCATGCCTTAGTATTTAGTTGTAATATATTTCCACACATTTACTTTCTCCTTATGTATGAAATCTTACAATTTTTATATAGCATATTTACATGTATACAGTACTGAAAAACAAAAAGAACACGTTTCCATGGAAAAATAATAGTTTATTGAACGTGAAACCTCCCAATGGAATATCTTGACTTCTGACAAAATTTTGCTTTAAGAAAAGAAATTGAGAAAAAATATTTTGATTAGGCTGAAATTCTATCTTGCAACCTTTCTGAGGGAGAATAATTTGTTTTTTTTCATTTTGAAAATTATAATTAAGCAGTAAAGAATAAATGCAGGACATTTGAAATGTCTTTGTTTTCACCCTCATTCAAAACTAAGCAAATTTCAAAATAATGGATTTTCTGGAAAACAGAAATTTTGGTTTTAGCACAAGTCTTTCTCATCTTTCATTCATTGAACAATAACATGAAAATCCTCCAGAAAAATATTAAGTATCACCCCAGTGTATTGTGCTTTAGTGCTAGGATTTGCCTTTGGATAACCAATTTAGCTGAAATAGTTACATTTACAAGTTGCAAGATTGCACTGTATTTAATTCACATCTGAGTATTATTATTGTTTCATTATATATATTTCTAAGATCTTCATCTTCATAGTAATGGGAAACCTGATTAGGTGAATTAGTTATTCAACCTTAAGTTATGCATGCCCTTTCTCCACATGCACAACATCTGCTGACAATAATGGATCAACTTTTAAAAAGGGGCTTTAGTCCAGCCTCCATTTGCGCATGTATAACTTTGCAAGCCCAGATTCAGGACTTAATACCACAGTTTCAGGGCTTGAAAATGCACATATAAAATTACAGTCACAGGAATGAAGACCACATTTTGCAAAATTTAACACAAAACTTTCCACATGTTGAGGATCTAAGGCTTAGTAAATTAGGGCCAGATATGTCCGTATTAGGTGATAGCTAAGGACAACTTTATACATTTGACAGAATCCGCCATCTTTTGTTGCTCAAATGCTGGTTGGAGATCCATCCTAAAAAGAGCAGCCTTACAGAATTTCTTAAGAAAGATTATGGATCAACTGTTAGGTACAATGTCTGCCCACTGCTCTATCAGTACATACCTTGTTCTAAATTTTAGAGAACCACAAAGTGAAGCCAAAAACAGAATTTTCCCTAGTTGTTCAGACACTACTGTGAGTAAAGGAGGTATTTTGTTTTATGATTTAAGTTGGCAGTTATCTCCATGACTTCGCACTTTTTCTTACATCTAAAGGACACCAAACACTCCAATTAATTGGATCAGTAAGAACCCAACTCATCTAAGCCAGGTACAGACACTACACTCTTACCAATATAAGTGATTGGAAACCGGTCTATACCCATAGCAAAACAGAAGTTTGGCATAGAGACTGGTTTAAAAATGGCAGAACCTGTCTAAGGTTTGCCCCCCACCAAAAGGCAAATGTGTGTTCTGTTCATTGCTGATTTAAACTACACCGCTTGCAGAAAACCGCTTGATTCCACCTTGAGCTTTTTGAGTGTCTGTACTTAGCCTTAGTCTTAAATAACTATAACATGGTTTTGAGCATGCAATAAATGGATCAACAGAAAGAAAATGCTGTGCAACATATATAATTTAACTCAGCAAAAACCCTTCCTTCCCTTTTTACTAAGCAAAGAAAGAAAGAAGTTAGTTTGGGTCCATCCTGTAGTTTGGGGACACATAAGAGCATCCTTTCCATATGCCTTGCTTAACCATACTAAATAATGTGGGAAATTTTGCATTATTCTGCTTAAAAATGACCCCTACAGGCTTAATGTTGTGTGGGGGTGTGGGTTTGAGTGTTAGTAATGTGTGTTGTGTTATAACATTTATTATTAATTGATATACAAATTAAAGCCATACTGGTGATTTCCATTAGCTTACTCTCCAACTTCTACAGAGCTGTCTGTCTGGTTTTAATCAAAACCAAATGGTAATCCAAGTTCCCAGGCTGGAGCAACTCAGAGGAAATCATTCAGAGGAGGCAGAAGAAAGCAGAAAAGATAAACAGATGATAGTTTCACAAAACTTGTGTAGAACGTAGGATGTAGATGCTGTGGACTGCTTTAGAGACGTGATTCAGGCACCCTGTCAAACTGGAAAGTAGTTACAACTGTTTTATGTCAGCAAAATTCTAATATGATCAAGATGGAGTCTGTCCTTGTACTTTTGCAAAGCTGGATTTGTGTGACACTGGAGGATTCTCAATAGAGGTAAAGCAGCATGTACCATTGCCTGTGCTATAAGAACTTTTAAACTGTAATGACGTTAATTTCTTATGATCCAACTGAATTTCATCAGTAAAAATATGTTTTCACTATGAACTATATCTATAGAATTCTGTGTGTTTCATGTTTCAAAGTGCACTGGGAATGTAAATGTGATGTTTTATTATATGTAAGCCAACTTGCTCTTTGCTCATTTCTTGCTCTGAAGTGCCAAAGAGCAAAGGAGCATTCAAAGACATTCTCCTGTCTTTGAGGATGGTAGTTCAGTTTCATATGCATGGTATATTCTTGCAGAATATTTTTGGTAAATCAACCATACTTTAAAATTATGTAACAACATCATAAATCTTCTAAATAGTTTGAGTTGTCTCAGATGTATGCTAAATCAAAGATCTTGAAACACTATTTGTTGTCTTTTTTTTCTTTTTTCCCTCCACTATGCAGTCTCTCTCTTGCTCTCTCTCTCTTGCTCACTTGCACACGCGTGCGCGCACACGCGCGCGCGCACACACACACACACACACACACTACTCAAAGGCAGGAAATACTTTTCAGGCAATCTGGGCCTGGTTGTTGAGGCCCCTTTCACAAAACATCAGTCTGAATTTAGTAGACACAAGTCACTGGGAAAGGCTTGACAGAATTCTGCTTAGTTAAGGCTCCCTCCAGCTGCAGAGGGTGTTTTTGTTAGAATCACACATTGAGCAAAACTGCTTAGAATAGAGCAATGATCTCAGCAACGAAATCTGAACTTCTGTGCTAGCAGAAACTAACTGGGAACTAATCTTTTTTTTTTTCTCTTTAATGACCCTTTTTTATGGAGGTAATGTCCAAGGTCCGCCCTCTCTTCATGTAGGTACGGAAGTCTTGGAATCTTAGAGGTTTTATAAGCAACAACAAAAATAAAGATGATTTGAAAAATGAGGAAGTTTTCTGTAACTGGTTAAGCTGAATGTCAGTAAGCTGCATTGGAGCTTTCTACGTTCTGGATCTCAGCAGTAACACTGGAGGTAAAATATTCACAGTAAGTGGTAGACTGTATGCTAGCTATGTTTATCAAAATATGCCAGGTCTAAAACAAAATCTGCTTGTGCACTTTATTTCTGTCTTTAAAAAATATAAATGATATGCTGAACCCTGTTTATTTGCACTCTAATATAAATAGAGCTGCCTGGTCTTACTTGCATATTTTTAATGTCCATAAAATATGAAAACTAGAAGTGTGAATGATTTCTTTTTTCACCTCTTTTGCCATTAAGGAGGGCATCAAGAGCTACAGTGGCTTTTTTTTCCTTAGTACTGATGCAGTGAAGCAAAACTTTGGGTAGGTTATATCACTTCGTCTTGGTTTCTACAGCTCTTTCCAAGAGCTTAGCTTCAGTCCATATGTTAGATGTTGATAAAAATCTTTAAAATATTCTTTAAAGTGTAAATTCTAAATGTAAAATTTCAGGGCATAATTCCTAACAGGTCTGTAGTTTCCATCAACCAAAATAGCAGAATTAAAAATAACTTAATGCATTTGAATAAATTGTTTGCTGTGTGATATGTTATTTAGAAAGGAAGTAAGGTAAGATTCAGTAAATGTCAAGTGATCACAGTTTTGATGAAATATGAATCTCATAACTTTTAAAAAATATTTCTGGTGACATTTAGCAGTTCAAAGTTATAAAGATGATTTGTGAAGCATTTCAGAGAGAATTCAGAATATTGTATAAAATGGATACAGCATAAATGTATGTACCATTTAGTTTATGTAAAGTGAATGACTAAATGATTAAAGTGTCATGAACATTGGAAAGTATATTTGATAGTAAACTATATGATAAATATTCCCTTTTATCTTTCTGTATTTCCAGAATGACAGTTGTTACACAGAAGTAATATGAGAGATTTTTTTCCTGCTTCTGTGCATCATTAAAACTCCATAGTTATTAGCCAATTAGGTAACTAAACATGAGTCATCTTTTCAAATACGCTGAGGATAAGCGTGAGAACGTTTAACTGGGTTTTTACTGAATATAGTTTCAGAACACGGGGCTTGAAGTTTCTTATTATGTTACCAAAAGGAGAGCAAAGGTGCAAAAATGACTCCAGCAGGGGTTCAAATCTCACCTTGGCAGGGCATTGGCAGCCATACTCCAGGTATTCCCAACTCTATAAAACAGAGGAAGACCTTCAGTTCAAACACCTACATGGTTCTTTTGTGTTTTTAAGGTCTGGTGAACAAGGTGAAGCAAGACTGGCAGTAAGTGAAAGACAGTCGTGTATTCCCCTCGAGATCCATGGATTTCTGGGGGGGAATTAATGTATAAATTACTGCTGTCTCTATTGACAGTACCTTCTCCATCTAGGACTCAAAGTGAGAACTGCATAGCCATAATGGACAGCTAAGGTGGAATTAAAGGCTCAGGAGCAATATGCTAAAAGAGTATCTCAGCATGACTTGTGGAATATGAGTGGGGACCTGATATCCCAGGAGATCTCTAGTCTTGACGCTTTTGCAAGAGTACACTGCATTCTCTTCAGCATCAAGTGCCTTTTCCCGCCTTGACCGTGCAAGTATTTAACATTTCACAGTAGCCCCTGGAACAAGCTAAATATTTAAAAGGCAAAAACAGAATGCTGTGTCACAAACGGCTAATTGTGTGTGGTGCTGGAAAAAGCTTAACCAATGTATTTTTATGGACCTCACTGTAATGTAAAGGTACTCAACACAAATGACAAAATAAGAGGAAAAAGATGATTTTTGTCATTTTGACTGTGACGGTTTTATGGGCTAATAGCAACTGTAATACAAAGTGACTAGCTGTCCTTGATTTCACTTAGGAAGAGGGTTTTTTTTAATTTCTTAAGATAAATCATTGTGGCTTCTCATTTTCAGTTTTACGACAAATCTTTTCTACCTAGTCTGCTGTCTATATTTTAATAACCAAATGAAACCTAATCATTGAACTTGGCTTAATACAGCAGTATTCAAAACATTTAATTCAGAATTTGAGAAAAGCCAAATATAAATTTATCTGAAAAAGTTGCAAAAGTTATAAAAAAGTTCTTTTTTGCTCAGAATGAATATTCTCTATTTTAATTTTAGCTTCCCTGGTTCCATTTATATGTTCATTGTACGCTTGGAAAAATCTTCAAAGAAATTAAAAGATGAGTTTTGATTTGCAAGTCAAGTGCCCCCTTCCTCCTCTCCCCTTGAAATAAGTGTTACAGAGAATACTCATTGAAATAATACACGAGTGAGGAGGCAAATCTTGAACACCTTAATCACATGGAATTGTAGTATCAGTGTTGTCAGGGTACGTACTTGAGGGATGGTCCTCTGTTACTCCTATAGCAGAGCAGGTTACATAGTATAGTAAGATTTTGGGTTAATGACATTAATCTACTTTTTTTCCATTGGGTAGAAAGACAACATTGGAGTGTGTACTCATATATAGATCTACAATGAATAAAGAAGTCACAAAATAGATGTTATGTTAGAAAAACATTATTGGCCTTTTTAGCTCCCGAAAATTGTGTACACAAATAATTCCATGCTATAGAATTCAGAATTTTAGTAAAAAGCTTTTACCAGGGAGTTAAATGATTAGATACGCTTGAACATCCACATTTTCATGAGGCAAAATATCTCAAGAGAAATCACCTACATGTAAAATTCTACTTGTGAAATTTTAGTGCAGTTGTGGCTCTTTTGGAAGTATGGTCTATAATATTTAAATAAAAATGAATAAGATATTTGAATGTATTTCATAATATGCTATGTTATTTGTTTCTATTGATGCTTTTAGAGACTGTTTATATAAGTGTGGCCCTCTGAGAAGAAGCAATCAACTACTGCTATAATTGCTTGCTTTTCTTGAACAGAAGAAACCTCTTAGATTGAACTTAAAATGCATATTGTTTTACATTTGGCAGATTGTGCACCAACCACTGAGCATAAACACAGTAATAATGCTGTAGGCAATATGTATCTCTTTTAAAACCTAATCATATTTTAATGGACTGTTTGTTCATTGCTCTTAATATTTATCTTTTGTTCTACTGTGGGATGTTTTGTTATGTCACTATATTATTATAGCTTATATCAAGATATAGACCAAACTATATCCAAGATAACCTTAAACTTTGGGAAAGCATGTGTTACAATGTGAACTTTGTAGATGACCCCCATTACTTTCTTCACATCTCTTGTTACTCCTCATGCTGTTTGTCCTGTCTATGTAACATTTCAGGACAGGGGCTATCTCTTGGCAAAACAGGACCTAATTCCTGATGGGAGCCTTTAGGTAATACCATAAAGCAAATCATTTTGTATGCTAGGTCAGAAAAAATCTCCAATTCTAAAGATCCCTGACTTTTCAGGAAATTTGGAATGTGATCCAAACATTGCTATGGCCAGGGGTGAGCCAATAGGAGGAGTCAGAAAGGAAGTGAAATGGTTTGTTTAACAAATGACAGTTTATGAAGGAGTAAAGGATTTTTGAGGAGTATTATTCTTCTTGGAAAAGCCAATAAGAAAAAAGCAATAAGATTTATTACTTATTAAAGATTAAACAATAAACTGCAAGCTGTATCAAAGTAATCTGAACTATATTATAACCACAGCATGTAAAAATTACAGATTCATAGCGTTCTGCAAACATCTTTGGGATTGTCCTTCTTTTGACCTCCTTTAAACACACTATTATAATGCAAATGACACTCAAAACTGCCTTGGATACATTGGTTCTTGCCAATTGCTGCCAGCATCAAAATTTCCATTCCTGAACAGGCCACAGAGGATCCAAACAAAAGCTACCAACAAACTCAACTTTTTAAAGCTAAGGTGCTTGATCTGTGTCATTCTGGACATGGCCTAGAATCAATTTAAGTGGCACTAACTGATATTCTTCTGTTGTCAGTGGCTGGAGGGTAGAGCTCCATTTTTATCTTTCTCAGCCTCTCTACAGTGTTTGACATTGAAAGACATACAATAGGGCTGTCTTGTTTAAGAGAGGTGATAGTGATTCACAGTAATGTGGTAAAATGACTTAAGGCCTTCCTGAAGAGACCTCAAGGATTGGAAGGGACCTCAAGTGACTCAAGGGTCATAGAGTCCAACACCCTGCCAAATGCAGGGTGCTCTATTGTGATATTGCCTCAGACAAATATTAGGAATGCACCAAAGTAGTGATTGGAAATTGTATGCCTTTCACTGCAACCTTAATTTATTGAGTCCAATGAATACTCTCCCTAGTACTATTAGTGACTAAATACAGTCACCAAACGAACACACGCAAATTGGTGAATTCCTCAGTGCCACCTTCACATAGCAATATCTGAAAGCAATGATTTCTACCATCTCCAGTTGGCCAAGAAGGCACTCCTGTTCTAATGGACCATCACATAGCCTCAGTTGCTTACTCCTTCATCAATTCACTGATGGATTGATTCTTTCTTAGCCATTTAATGGAGTTGTTGTGAAAATACTAAACAATAAAGAAATAGCATTAATAAGAAAAATAGTTGAAATGTGAAGGAATAGAATCAAAGTAGATGCGGCTAACAAAAAGTGGAGAAAGACTTCAAGGGTTACCTGCTGTTGCATAGTTGTCACAGCAGCACCCATTGGCTATCCTAGCATTGCAGTTGCCTAGGAAACTCTCTCCCACACTGGCGCATAGCAGCCTGGCCTTTTATAACCTCCCATGTGAACTAGTGCATTGTGTGGCTAGGTATCAAGCCATCAGCTCCCAGGAAAATCCATGTAAGGCAGCTTTCTGAAGCATGTCTTTTCAATCACAGTTCACCATGAGTAGGGATGATCAAAATCTGTAATTTTCATTCCACAGGGAAGTCAGTATTTAGTGGGGTGGAGGGAGAAAAAGGGAAAAAAAATTCTAGATTAGCCCACCTGCTGCACCAGCACTGAGCATGGAGCCTGGCAAACCCAGAGAGATTTCACTTGATTAAGGACTTCCAGAGTGCCCAGACTCTGAACTGTGTGGAGTGGAGCTGGAAGTAAGGTGCCTGGGA